GTTCAAAAATGGAAACCAAATCAAACGAAATCAATGAAACATGGTGCGGCGCAAAGAGCTATGGAACACCTCATCCAAATCACCAATCCTCCATCCTACTGTAAAAAGAACATACCCGCCCCTATAACGAGAACCCTTTTTTTTCCTTCCCTCCTCTCGACCCGCTCTCTTCCCAGGAACCCATCGCCCGACTTAGGCACTGCCAAGGCACGGGACGCAGAACCGGCGCCATCCGCGTGTCGTGGCCACGAATTTTGGCAGAATCCCAGGGCGTTTGGCCTCGGCCGCGCTGTGCTTCGGCGCAAGGCGACCCCGAGAGACGCCGACCCGACGCGATCCGCTCTCCGGTCATCCGGGCGCCCCGGGCCGTATTCGTCCGGGGCGTCGACGTCGGCGCCACCGTCGACCAGGCGCTGCGCCGCGTCGGAGTGGCCGTGTTCGGCCGCATAGTGGAGAGGCGTAAGACCTCAGGACGAGGCGTGGAGGACGAGCGGAGAATAGTTCCTCTTTTGAAGGTGCAGGAAGGGAATCAGCGGAGAGGCGCGTGCACGTCGAGTTGGATCCTTTTGGAGGGTTTCACGGATTTGCTTTGCTTTTGGGGGGGATTCTCGGGTTCACGAAGTCTGAATCGCATTCAAACAGTTGCACAAACAAAACCATCAAAGAATCAGGAAAGTAGGATGAATCAACATGCAAGTTTGGATCCAACTCACCCCTTTAGTTTCGAGGACCTCACGCCGAGGCCGAGGCCGATCCGCTGTACCCGAAAGAGGTTCCCAGGCGCCCCGGCCCCGGCGGCGCCGAAGAGTCGAAAGGACTTTGGTTTTCTCCGGGAGAGGAAAAACCGTGGAAAGAAGTTGGCTTAAGACACCGTGATTGAAAAGTTGATGCCCCTCTCAACTCATGAAGAATGGGTGGTCACTTTGGAGATTTGTAACTCTGTTTGCGTATGCTCGAAATCTCACCGGTGTGTTGCTTGGTCTTGAGACCTCCTGGTTCTAGCTCTCTCCATTCATGTTCTGTCGCCTGCAGGGCACAAAAAAACTACCAATCCCAAGCTTTGTCACAGCATGTCACAGCATTGAACCAAGCCAGGAAGAAGTTGATTCAATTGCTCCACATTCACCCTTTACATCGTCTTTACATCGACTCATCATGACTCGCGACTCATCCAAATTCGCACTCTTTCGGGTTCTCCCTGAACTCGTCCTTTTGACCTGATCAGAATGACCAATCCGGCGGAAAAACCGGAGACTTTCCACTCCCAAACCGGTCCTTTGAGCCCGATCCGTGGCGCCCCGGCACTCAACGTTCTTCGCGTCGACGGCGGCGCCGGCCGCCACGAGCCGATCCACCGAGGCGGTGTGGCCTTTTGCCGCCGCAAGATGCAGCGGCGTCCCGCCTCGGCCGTGGCGGCGCCGAAGAGTCGACAGGACTTTGGTTTTCTCCGGGAGAGGTGGAGAAAAACGTGGAAAGAAGTTGGTTTAAGTCAACGTGGTTAAGAAGTTGACGCCCCTCTCAACTCATGAAGAATGGCAGGTCACTGTTTGGAACTCTGTTTGCGTATGCTCGGAACAAATTAGGAGCAAATGCTGAGGTGTTGAGTTTCCTTTGTTTGATTTCAATTTGGACCATCGACAATGTCAATCCTCGAAAGCTTGCAATGTGTTTGCGTATGCTCGAAATCTCACCGGTGTGTTTCTTGGTCTTGAGATCTCCTGGTTCTAGCTCTCTCCAATCCCAAGTTTTTGTCACAGCATTGAATAAAAGCCAGGAAGAAGTTGATTCAATTGCTCCACATTCATCCTTTACATTGCCTTTCATGTACTCATTATCACTCACCACTCATCCAGATTCGCACTCTTTCTGGTATACTCCCTTCCGAACTCGTCCATTTGACCTGATCAGAATGACCAATCCGGCGGAAAAACCGGATACTTTCCACTCCCAAACCGGTCCTTTGAGCCCGATCCGTGGCGCCCCGTTCCGTGACGCCCCGGCCTCTGTTGTCCTTCGCGTCGACGGCGGCGCCGGCCGCCACGAGCCGATCCACCGAGGCGGTGTGGCCTTTTGCCGCCGCAAGATGCAGCGGCGTCCCGCCTCGGCCGTGGCGGCGCCGAAGAGTCGACAGGACTTTGGTTTTCTCCGGGAGAGGTGGAGAAAAACGTGGAAAGAAGTTGGTTTAAGTCAACGTGGTCAAGAAGTTGACGCCCCTCTCAACTCATGAAGAATGGCACGCCATCTCTTTTGCTTGGGAGCGAGCATGTCTATCACATTCCATGACGCTATTGTGGGGCACCATGAGCAGGACTCTTGACGACGAACGCACCCAGCAAATTGGAAGTTTCTCCATTGCAAAGGCTATTGCCTCCAGTGGCCTCTGCTCGAGTTGACCGTGCACCAAACATCAAAGACTTTTCCGCGAACGTGCATACCAGTGATTGTACCGCACTGATATAAGAGCATCCTCTTCTGGCCTTTAGACATGAATCGACAAACCGCTTGCAGACTGCCCCATCAATTTCTTCAAGCCTGTCACGCGTCTCTTTGTCCCTTCCATTTTCGGACCGACCTTTTCGGGCCTCTGATCGACCTTCCGAGCCTCTGGGGCTCCCCTGCTGAACTCGCCACCAATCGCCTCCAAGTCGGCCTTGGCTTCGGTGAGCCGTTCGACCACGTGGAAGTGGCCCGCTTCGGATGCCACATGCAAAGGCGTGAGGCCTCAGAGGTGCAGAAGGGTGCGGAGTCTTGAGATCTCTTGGTTTGTGCGATGATGTTGAACAACTACTTTTAATTGAGCTGTCTAGCTGGCTCATTGGGACTCGTCATCCTTTCATCGTCTTTCATCGACCCATCGTGACTCATTCATATTCTCACTCCTTCTGGTTCTCCCTCCCGCCCAACTCACCCTGTTTGACTTTATCAGAATGTCGAATCCTGCACAAACTGGATACTTTCTAGGTTTGGTGACTTTTTTCTCCACGAGGGGTAAGATTTGCATTTTGGAGATATTGCAACTCGATGGAGCTCGTCATTTTTCCTTGAAAGCATTGGGAGAGTTGATCCGGGCCTTGGAATTATGCGCGACTAAAGATCATCTCTATCACTGAAGGACGATGAATATCAGCAATCAATCTGAAGTTTGTCTGTTGGACAGCTTATGCCTCCGGAGTCCTCTGCTCACGATGCACCAAGCATCGGTTGGAAGGCCTATACGGCACACGGTGGAACAAAACACGTGGAAAGAGTTGGTTTAAGTCACCGTGAAAAGAAGTTGACGCCCCTCTCATTTTGGGCATTGAAACTCTCATTTGCTTTGGAGGGATCCTCTCTATCACATTCTATCACGCTATTGTGGGGCACCAAGTACAGGACTCTTGACGACGAACACTCGCACCCAGCAAATTGGAAGCTTCTCCATTGCACAGGCTGTTGCCTTCAGTGGACTGCTGCTCGAGTTGACCATGCACCCAGCATCAAAGACTTTTCCGCGACCGTGGATAGGGATAGGAGTGATTGCGCCGCACTGACGGCAGCTCCAAGAGCATCATAAACCTACCAAACCACAACTCGTCTTGTCTTGACATCTTCCAGAATGGACCTTTCGAGTGTCTTGCGAATCTGTTGCAAATTGTTCCATCCTCGAGCCCCCAGGGTCCCCGGCGGTCTCGATCCTGTGCGTCAACAGCGGCCTTCGCCGTCAGCAGTCGGTCCACCACCTCGCAGTGGCCCTTCTCCGCCGCCAAGTGCAGCGGAGTTCTGCCTCAGATTCTGAGGGAAGCGGCTCCGCCAGGGCCGATAGATGCTGTTGTTGCTCTTCAGTGGGGTGACCCATGCAAGGATGGAGCTGCATTTCACACCAAACTCTCAAGACCATGGCAAACAGCGGCAAACAAGCATCCTCTTATGGCCTTTTTGAGACATGAATCGACTGGGCCCTTGCAGACTGCCCCATCAATTCACTGTCACGCGTCTTGTCGCTTCCACTCTACATCCTGGCAATGTGACCGAAAACGATCAGAGGCTGATCGCCCTTCCGAGCCTTCCAAGCCTTCCGAGCCTCTGGGGCTCCCCCGCTGTACTTGCCCTTCGCTTCCAAGTCGGCCTTGGCTTCGGTGAGCCGTTTGACCACGTGGAAGTGGCCCGCTTCGGATGCCACATGCAAAGGCGTGTGGCCTCAGAGGTGCGGAGGAAGCTTCAAACGGCTCGATCCACGTATTGTTGCTGGAGGGATCCACTGCCAAAGACTATGAAACTCAAACACTCTCGGATGTTATTTTCACGCTATGGGAAGCTCACCCCTTTTCAAGGAAAGGGTCCTCACTGTAAAGCTTTTTTGGACCCACAAAGCTGCAAAATCAGCCAACTTCATGCAGCTTCCAAATATATCCAAGGTTGTTCAAGGTCTCCAAAGCTACATTATTCCACTATAAGTTTGGGGAAAGCTACATTCTTCCAAATGCGATCCTTCTAGCTCCCACAAGTCTGGGGGCCCGAGCCTTCATTGTCTGTGGCTTCAATCTCAGCTCCTGAAGTCACTAGGCGCTCAACCTCCTCCCTCTCCCCGTTGAGGGCGGCGAGGTGCAGCGCGGACCGGCCTCGGACGATGTGAGATCGAAAGTGTTCCAATCTCGGTTTGGATATCCGAACAAATGCAATTCATCTCCGAATCAGAAATGGACGGAATTTATCGACCTATAATCTGCGTATAGCCCAACTATAGCCGGCGCATAGACCAGCATTCTCCCTTCAGCTCCCTTGACTTTCTAGAAGATTAGAAGACCCATCTTTAAGCCGTTTTAAGCCTATGCCTATCGACCGTGGCCTCACAAATCACGACTTACTTTTCTCGCAGGGCAAATGTGGGTCCATCTAGCTTCTGGAGTTCAGCTGCTGTAGGAACACCTCCTGTTCGATGGTCGCAGTTGAGTGACTATTGAGCTCGGTAGCAGCGGGGCATGGATGGTTTTGCCCTTGCATCCATGCAGCGAAGTTCTCTGAGGGCTTTTGGTGTGATTTGTCAGGTTGTCATAGTGTTCCTACTCTGGAGCTTTTGCATGACTCTTGGCGAGGGGTACGTTTTGGGGAGGCGGACCATCCTGGGCCCGCCGGTTCTCGAAAGACTGAACGGAAACGATCCAAGATGAGTTGCCACTTGGGGCCCTCCTCTCTTCAGGTGCCGTCTACTCCATGGATGAGCCCTTCGGCCCTGACCTCCCCGTCACTTGTGGTCGGCATATTGACTGTCAAGGCGTGGGTGACCATTTGGCGGTTAGATATAAACTTGACTTGAACTGCGATTTCTTAGCGGGCACATGTCCCTCGTCCTCCTGACGTGGTCGCTGAGTGTTTTAGGCGGCAGTGGTCGCCGGAGTCTTTCGAACAAGCTATTCAGGCAGGGAATGTCGACAGTGCTTGGGCATTACTTTCTTCCGTTGCTGAACTTTCTTTGTTTGAGGACCATCATTCTGGGTTGAGTCGGGCCCATGCTTGGAAACCGCGAAAACAATGTCTCCGTCCCAAACGTGCTCCTTTAGGGGATTCCCTAAAAGTTGTGCAGCTTCGTAAGTTGAGAAGGCGAATTTTGCAACTTTCAAAAACCCCAGATGAAGATCGCTTGCGTGAAAAGATCTTTCAAGATATCAGTGCTTTGCATGGTTCTTTTCCTGCATTAAACGAGATTGGCTACTTCACGGTTGAGCATGAACTGCATTTGGTTGATCAAGTGTTGCAACAGCAGGCTGCAGATAACAAAGAGTCAGCTTTGCGGTGTTGGAAGGATTCTCTCGAACCCTCCATTCTGCGTCAAAGTTCCTGGATTCGACGTAAAGCCGAGAAACTTTGTGCCTTGACGGCAAACCCTTCGTCCCACTTGCAGCATGCAGTGCATCCGGTTCAGATTGTTGCGAAAGCTGAACAAGACCGGTTGCCCCGTTGGAAGTGCCCACCCGCGTTGCTACAGGCAAAGCATGTGGCAGCTCTGAAGTGCTTCTTGAACCACCGGGATCAGCTGCCGATGTCTTCTCTTGACATTCACTTTTGTGGCAAGACTCTTCCAAGCATTTGTAAGGAGATGGCTTGCAAAGCGTCGGGCCCTGATGCTTGGTCAGCAGGTGACCTCGGGCGACTACCTGAAGTGTGGTGGGAAGCATTTGCTTTGTTGTGGACTTCAGTTTACAAATCTGGTGCCATTCCCCATCGCTGGTTGGAGGCTCGTGTTTGTCTGCTGCCCAAGGCCGATGGGAGTTCCCGCCCTTTGAGCATTCTTAGTGTGGCATGGCGCATTGGTGCGCGTTATAAATATCACCAGAGAGCTTGAACACTGGCTGGCCACTTGGGTGGACTTCAGATGTGTTGGGGGGGTTCCGAAAGGTTCTGTGCAGAGTGCTCATGCTCGTTCGGTGCAGGCTATGCGCGATTCTTCGCTCATGTGACTCATGTTCATTGGTCAGGACTTGTCGAAATTCTTTGATACTATTGCGCACCCTCACTTGCAGCTGGTACTTGGACATTTGGGTGCTCCTCCGGCCTTTGCAAAATTGGTGAAGCATTTTTATGAAGGCAATCAGCGTATTTTCACTTCACGTGGTATTTTTGATGACTCCTGGCACAGGGTGGACAGAGGCCAAGGCTGCCCATTCTCCCCGATGTTAGCGGCAGCTGTGATGACCTTCTGGACCTCTCATGTTGCTTGTAGCGTTGTTGACTGTGTTGCTTACATTGACGACCGCTGCTTTTGGTGCAGTTGTCCAAGCTGCGATCCTGGCCAAAAGTCAAAGTGATGAGTTTGATAGCCTTTTTGGTTTCTCCTGCTCAGCAGCAAAGTGCCAGCTGGCCTACCCACCTGAGCTGGCAGCCGGCCTTCAAGTGGCTCCGCTGCTTGGCTACAAACATGGGCAGGGGTTGGATACTCTGGGCTTACACTATGATCTGGCTTCTTCAACTACTTCTTTGCTGAAGTTTGACCTTGCTAAAGCACAATTTCGGTTGCGCTATGTGAAGGCGGTTGCTGGGTCTTTCACCCAGAAGATCTTCCATATTCGTCGACTTGTTCTTCCCTCCTTTTGTTGGGCGGCCGGGTTTGCTCTTTTACCTGACCATGAGTTGCGTACTTTGCAGAAAGATTTCAAAACGGTTTTTGACCGTAGGCTGTTAAAGGACACTCCTTTTTGCGTCCTCAAAGAAATCTTGGGCTGGAACACCTTAGAGAAGCTGGAATGGTGGGCTGATGACTGCGGCCGCTACATTTATCGTACTGATACTTATGGCAGTGTTCGCCGTTTCAAAGTTGGTCATGATTCGCCTTCTATTCTCCACGAGTGGCTTTGCGACTTTCACCGTGAACGGGAACTTCGGCAGTGCGCGCGCATTCGCCAGAAATTCCACCGTGATGACCCTCAGTGTGCAACGGGCTTGGACCTTCCTGGCCCACCTGAGACAGGGTTTTGCTTGTTTGCTGGACATCGTGTCGCTTGGGCTTCGGATGGATCCAAATACCTCAAACATGCTGCTATGGCTTCTGGGTGCAGTGTTTGGTACAAATTCCCTGGTAGCAGCTCTTTTGATCCGGGGGATCTGCGTTGGAATTGTCGCTGTGGTCTTTACAAGCCTAGCAGAGTTCACCTTGTGTGGTCGTGCCCTGAAACTGTACATTTGCGCCCACCGCATGCGCCATTGCATCGAGTTGAAGAGCGTCTTTTTGCCAAAGTCGTTCAAGAGCGTCCCAGCCCTTGCGCAGTGCCGCATTTTGATTCATACTGTGATGACATTACGGCTGCAATTCTCAAGTGCTTGGACAACTCCCCTGAGGTGATTGTTGCTACCGATGGCTGTGCCGATGCGCAGGCTTCAGTTGCTTCTTGGTGTGTGGCTTTGCCGCAGATTCATTGTTAGTTTGCGGGTGGCTTGAATAGTGAAGAACAGTCAGCATATCGTGGTGAAATTGCTGCCATGCATTTGTTTCTTCGAGTGCTGACGACTATGATTGCTCATAATCTCCGTCTACCTGCACGAGTCCTTTTTGTGTGCGATTGCTTATCTGCCATTTCTCTCGTTCAATCTGGACGGGGGAAAGCCGCGTTGTTGGGAAAGGAATTACTTTCATTGACTTCTCTTTGTGCCACCTCTGGTATCGCTTTGGATTGGCAATGGGTTCCCAGCCATGGGCGCCTTGTGTCCTCTTGGCGCTCCCATTGTCGCTATTGTGAAGCTCCTTTGGTCTGTCTCTCATATTGCGGAGCATTTTGCATCTTGGGAGGTGGCGTGATTGCGCTCCCATTTTGGGTTAGGTGAGGCACCTGGGGCTTGTTTCCCAGTTGCTACTTCAACATGAAAATCGCTTCTGGAGTTCAGTGGCTTCCCGATGAGGTCCTATTCCAGTTCAGCATGCCAGGAAGAGTTGCATTCAACATTTTACCTCATGCTCTGCCAGAGAAGTGTTCCGCCATTGACAGTTGATCATGGAAAATTGAAGAGCTCTATGTGTCCTGGACAGGCATAGACTTTCTGAATGACTTGACTGCCATGGGGTGTGGTGTTGATGAACAACTGGCGCCATGTCTCACACACTTCTAGGAACATATCTTTAATCAGCTTCATCTTCACTCTTTGCCAAGGATGTGCTGCACAGTTACCGTCGATAACACGAACATCCGACGCTTCCCCTGTCTTGCCTGCACTAGCACCCATTTATCCTGGAAGAACTGTCCAGTGATTTCCCGTGAACTGGGCTTGAAAACGCACAAACAAAACCAGCAAAAACAAGCAACGGTTGTGCCTCGGAGTTGGCTCTTCTATTTGGAAAACGCATATCGGTCCCACTTTTTGCAAAGTAGGTGTTCCAAGCTGAGAGTCAATGGCCAAAAGATATGAGGGATCTGCTCGATGTTTACACATTTGACAAGCTGGGAAGTTTCTTCAACATCTCCACCACAAGAAATTACATTGCAAGACTCTGCCCAACAGCTGCTCCTGCAAGCTGTCACGGTGGTCACCAAGGAGTCGTGGCTAGCTCTTTTCAAACGTCTTCAAACGTCCGTCCTCTTAGGGCCCAAAACACAGCGGAATGCATCGTGTTATGTCTTGCCCATGTGGAAGCCAGCCCAATGGACCTCACAACAAACAATTTCCGTTCGAGACCACAACTGGGAGAATTGAAACTTGTGAGTTACAAAACTGCCGCTGTCCATCAGCCATCAAAAGTTAGTTGGACTCAACTATCACAGTTATTACAGTCTAAGTTAGTTGGAATACTGGCCGGGCAATATTGGAGATGAGATGGTGCATGATCTGCCCCTTGAAAAATAGACCGTCTTCTCAGGCTCACAACTTTTCTGCTGTCACAGCTGCTGCTGGTATTGGCAAGCCTCAGCCAAACGCGTGGACCCGCGCCTTTGGAGTGGCACTTCCTTGCTGGTAATTAAGTCTGCAAAATCACTGCTTGCCTCTGAATGCCTCTAGAGAATATCGAGAAGGTGCGTGGTTCCCCAACGGTATGAAAAGGAATTGAAGGCGTGTTGCCAAGGACAAGGTCACACAAAGTCAACGAAGTGAATCCGGGACACACGCAGGTCGAACAGGATCGAACCACATGCTAACCTTTCACTCGCCGAAAGGGACATCGAGCGCATCGAGCTATGACCCTGAAGCTCGACTGAGTCGCCCAGACGCATCATCTGAGGCATCAACCAAATCCCTGACAACATGAGCATGGGCTGAATGGAGGGTCTTACTGTAGAGGCTGCCATTGCTTCATGTTGGCCAAATAAGGTGAAACAAAGCAAACAATATCATGTTCTGGACTGAGCGGTATTCAACTAGAAGAAATTTGAAGCAAGTTTGGGCTCGAGGGCTTGCCAGCGAGTGAACCCGCTTCCACTGAACAGTCGAGAGATTTGCAATGATTCTGAGAGATAAAGCTTCGATTTCAAAGTGGTCCCCGGAGTGAGGGAATCCTTGCTGCGTTGTTGCAAGAACAACGGTGGCCATACGTTTGGAACTGACCTCGGATGTTTATTCTACTTTGAACGTCGGGATGAGATGGTGGCTGCGAACCTCTCGCTCAAGTGCTTAGGACTGGACTGGCAGTGTACTTGGAGGTTGATTGACTCTCCAAAGTTGTTCCAGTGATCCGAGATGAGCAGGAGTGCTTGAGGCTTCATGATGTTTGCTCTGGCCTTGAAGGCTTATCAATGGTTTTTGGATTCTGTGGGGTCACTGCGATCTCCGCGGTAGACATCTCCCAGTTGGCCTGTGATGCCTTTGACATGGTTCATGGAGGGGGAGCGATTAGAGCCAATGTTGGCGACATTGCAACGGTCAGGAGAATGCATGAGTCTCAGGCACCTCATTCAGCAATGTTTAGCCTTGGTTTCCCCTGTCAACCGTTTTCCCTGTTGGGGGACGGTTTGGGTGCGGCGGATGCTCGGGCAGCGGTTCTACCTTTGGCCTTGGATGCTGCTCACATGCTTCAGACCAGATATTATGTGTGGCTGGAGTGCGTGGCTACGGTGCACAAGAATGAATTCGCGCAGGGCATCTTGTCTAGCTATGCGGAGGGACATGGACTGAGGACTCACCAGGCCGAGCACACATGGCCCTCGGTTTGCGGTGATGTATCCAGGGGTTAGGGGACATTCATCCCATGCCTCGAAGGGATCCGGGTTCGACACTGGAGACCATTTTCGGTGGCATCCCGGCTTGGCCTTTTGAATGAAGAAGAAGACCTCCGGCTCACTCCGGAAGAGATTTTTGTTTACTTTGACAACAAGCTCACGAGGGGGGACAGGATTCTTAGCCTTGAGGGTAGTATGCCAAACAGCTCTTCACTCATGGGGATCTGCTACGAGAAGCTGTCCGTGTGGTGGCTTCCAGTATTCTAGGCTGGAAACCTCAGGTCTTCGTGGACCGGTCGTGACATCAGCTCATGATGACATTGGATGCGGTCGTCCTCATCCGAAGGAGGTTGCATTGGCTTTGGGCTTTCACCCTTTCATGGCTTCATTGGCAAACTAGAGGGCGATGTTGAGTGTCTTGGTCAATGCTGTTTCCGCTATGCAGGTTGTGTGGGTGGTGATGGAGGCTCAATCAGGGGCAATTCTTCCAAGGCTTTCTCTTGAGGATTTGCCATCCAGAGATGCTTTGCTCAAATATCAGGCCCTGATCCTGTGGCAAAGGAGGGTGACTTGGCCTCCGCTTTCAGTGAGTCCTCCGAGACTGGGATGATTCGGGGTGTCAGGATCTGGTGTTTACTCAGGGCTCTACGTTGGGTCATCTCCTTCGGGCTGAGGCAGCTCTTCGTGATGTGGAGTTTTCTTTGCGGCTCATGATCGAAGGACATGTGCCTCCAAGTCATGTGCGTTTGACCTCCAGTGAATATATTCTTGGTTCAGACGCCCCAGACGAGGAGAGCTGTTGACTTTGCGGGCAAGATCAAGATCCAGTTCGTCTTTTAAGAGATATGTTGACCTTTGTCGAGGTTTTGGAGGGGACTCCTCTGGAACTTGCAATTGCGAAGGCCGGCCTGCCTCTTTTTTGGCCTCGTTCTACTGTGTCACACACACTCGGAGTCGATGGCTCTTTCTGACCGCATTTTCCATCCAGTTCGAATTGCTGCCACCAAGAGACTTTGGGGAGCAGGTGAGAGTGAGTATGAGATGGATGGCTATATGAACCCGAGGGATTCTTGGATGAGACAGACCCAGAATTTGCTCGTCTCAGCGAGTGCGTCAACACCCACCTTCCTGATGAATTTCAGGGGAATCCTGGGTCCAGTGCGAAATGTGGGAAGAGGCCTAGATAGTGGTCTCATTGATGAAATTACCAGAGTGGTCCTTGCGCAGATCTCTTCTTCAAGACCTTGTGTGTGTGTGAATCCCATCAAGGCCCACAACCTCATGGGGGCCTCTCCATGTCAACTGGAGGAGCGCATTTGCCGACATCTGGATCAACGAGGCACGATGGAAGAGATGATGCTGTTTGTTTCTGAGGGTCATTGGTTTGCTGCTCATGTGAGATGGACGGAGGACATGCTTCTGGTGCTCTTCCCTGATGCTCGCACTGGAATGATCTCGGCTGAGGTTCGTTCTTTCTTTCAGGCCTTCCAGAAGGCATTGGGCAAGACTTATTTGGAGCTGAACCGCACCAATCTTGTTGATAGAAAGGACTCGGACTCTGACTGTGGGGCACTTGCGATTGTCCACATGGCATGGCTCCTTGGGATCATTGTGGACGCTGACCATGAAACTATCCAGGATATATCAAGTGCAGGACTTTTGCGTCTTTGACTGGTGAAGGCAATTGAATTCATGTCAGGTGATTCAAGATTGGCTGAAGACCTTCCTCTGTGAGAAAGGAATGCCGAAAGAGAAGGTTGAGCAAAGGATTGGAGAAGCTCTTAAGGCCATCTCCTTTCAGCAGGTGGAGGAAGCCAAACAAAGTTCTCACTGATCGCAAAGGCAAGACTTTTAGGTGGGTCAAAGAGGGTGAATTGCAGAGCTACATTGAAAGCAAAGCAGCCAAGTTTGTGGGAGTGCCCAAGCGTAAGGCAGCCAAGTTGTGAACCCTCATCGAGTTCGGCCATCTGTATCGTGATGAGTGGCAAGGCGATTGGCAAGAATTCCAGCAGCGTCCGGTTACGATCCTACAAACACATGTTCCTGCTTTGGACACCTGCAAATTCTGCAAAGTGACACAATTGTGGTTTCTGTCCGAAGTGGCACAAGAATGTTGGACAAGCAGCTCTTGAAGGTTTGGGGATGGTTCTTTCAGTGGGTTTCAGTGGGTGGCAAGGCATCGCCCAAATTACTTCCCAGCGGATCGCAGCCTTCCTCTTCAGCGTCTTTCTGGTGTTGGAGGACTTTATGTGGAACCCCGGGATGTGTCGGTTAGGAAAGCCAATCCTGATTTTCGAGTGTTGTGGATGCCATAGGCTTCTCGATCAGAGGTTGAAGTGGCGCATGCAAGTCACATGACAAGATCATCACCATTTGTCGCCTTCGTGACAAGTTTGGTGTGAGGGTGAAAGCGCTGCTCCCTTCGAAGGTATTGGTGGATTGCCAACCCAAGGATGTCTATGTCTTGCTCCCCTTGCCGGTGGGGACTCAGAAGAATGGAATGCTCCAGCTGCTGAAGCATCTAGGTTGGGCGGCCAGGCCCATGCAACTGAAGGGAGCTGGCAAGGACATTGCTTTGGTTGGTTGCTCAGATCGCTCCTCCGCAGTTGTTCACTGCGGATCATGGAGAGGTCATGTAACCCTTCACTCCTTTGCACCCAGGCGTCAAAATGTTGATTGATCAAGCAATTGTATCTGTCCAAACGAAACACATTGCAGGCCAGTCGACAGCTTCGAAGGAGGATCCTTGGATGACGAATCCTGCTCCATGCTCCATGGACGCAGTGGAGGAGTTCATATCATCCTCTCCTCCGACGATGCCGACTCCGAATCCAATGGCAGCGGAAACCGCATCGAAGCTGGAGCAGCTACGAAAGGACTTGTCCGGCCACATCCTGAAGGAGATTCAGCAACAGGTGACAGAGGTCTTGCATTGACTACACCGTGCTGGGCTCTGCTATGGCTCCTGCAGAGTGGCAGGTGATGGAGTGAGGTGCAATTTCAGGTGTTGGAGAAGTTTTGGTTCCTTTTGGTTATTAGCAGTCTGTGGTATGATTCAGCTAATGCAAGTATGCGGGAAGAGCACGCTTCTGTCTTCACTGTCCTTTGCCGGGCTCTCTTACCTCAGCACGGGACAGTCGCCTGACTGTTGTTGTGATTGCCGGTCGCGTGGCTGTGGGGGCAGTCGGTCGGAGTGCCATCAAGTGAGAGCTCCTGTGATGGAAGGGCAGTAGGAGCGGCGCCGGGACAAATGTATGTTTTTGAACTCTCGCGGTGTTAGAGATGCAGGCCACCAACCAATACATCATCTACGTACATCATGGTGATCCTGGCAGGCTTGGTATCCGATATGGAGAGGCCGTTGGGCGGCAAGTGTCAACTTTGGCTTAGACAGATGAGACGACTGCAATCTTTGAGATTTGCAAACAAACGGAGTCCGCGACC